AACTGTTCTGAAAGGTTCTAGTTCAAAACAAATACAGGAACTACTTGCAACTAGTGGTATTCCCTTATCCTGTGCAGTCTTCCAAAAATGTATTCATGGGTTGCAGTAGTCAGAACAACACTTGGTGGTACAGCTCCTTTGGATCAAGTCTGTCAAGCAAGGGAGAAGGCTACGGGGTCAGTGCTAATGTGAAGACCAGGGACTTCTGTAAGAAAGAGAACCTTTGAGTTTCAAATTTATTTGAAGAGTCACTCCTTAGCCACTTTGTGGTGGAGACAGAAACAAAGGAAATCCCAACAAAAAAGTATGAGGAAGCACTGGCTGGAGGGAGTTCCATGCCCTCTAGGGTATTCCTGTAAATAGGAGCCACTAGGCTGTATGTTTATCAGGACAAACAGGTGGCAAAGCAGACAAGCAAGGCTGGCCTCCAAGGAAAGCTCTTTTTATTTGTTTTTCATGGAGCGTTGACAAGCTTGCTCCAACACACTTCATTTTTGTGCAAACATTACACTGTTCTCCTGCCAAGCTAATGATAGGTGTGACCAGTACAGGAGAATTATTTACTGCCTGCTTTTCACAGTTACCCACTTAGACACTTGATTCTGCACATAGGAATCAAAACTAAAATGTTAGTTTCACATTTTCTGCCTTAGGGAGAAAAGCATTATGGTATGAATCCTGTTCCTCTCTTCACCTCCCCACAGATCCTCAGCCGCAACACAAAGAGATCTGCTACATGGGGAAAGGGTAAGGATGGGGAATATTCACAGCTCTGCACATACTGCAGAGGTCCCCAATACACTGTTGCTTGAATGTAATGATGCTGGTGGGGTGTGTGTGCGCACACGTTTGTGTTTCATTTTCCTATGATGATCTGCTAGAGATGGTTTGTTTATCATAGAATAGAGAACAGAATCAAAGGTCCCTGGTTTTGGTTTGCATGCTTCAGTATAGACTTGAGTAAAGTGATTTCCCAGTTAATGTAATCTATATTATATTCTACAAAGGCCATTCATGAATGTGGCAGCCCACTTCTGAAATTCTTTCCGAGTCAAAACTCTCACGTGAACAGACTATACTACTACCAACCTGAACCATTCAAAAAAAATCATGACTCAACCCAAAATGTCATGAAATTAGTTTTGTAGTCGTAATGATTTTTAAAAAAATATTCCTTGTAGGTTCTTTGCCTTTAGGGCATGCTTCATGTTTATGAGATACTTTCCACATTGTGGGCTATAAGCATTTTTATTTAAAAAATAATCTTAAAATCAAGTGATTGGTTCAACTAGGGCTTTAAAAACAAGAAAACAAAAACATCCATAAACCCCCCAAATAATACAAACTTTTACAACTCTTTATGAAGCTAAAACTCATTGGTATGAACCACAATAACTTAGAAGATGAATACATTAACAACAAAAAGCAGTTATTCAAGCAAATTACAAGGTATCTAATGTGTAAAGAAGGATCCAGTTGTCTGAGTCTAAATATATCCTTATAGAATATACAATATTTTTACTTGTGCTTGCTGCATCTGTATATACTTACTTTCCTGAATGAAGGATAGGCCATTAAAAGAAATTGTAGAAATACATTACTTTTTTCTCTGAGTACTAATTCTTTTAAATAAATAATGGAACAGTAAATTATGCCAATTATAGCATTCAAGGAAAAATGCTATTCTTAGGTCTGAAATAACCTGGAAGTAAACCTGTGAGGTCAGATGGCGTGAGCAGGAAGTCCAAAACAAAACTGGTTGGGTTGGATTATATGGATAAGGAGCTGCAAACTTGTTTTAAAGTATGTTGATCTTTTATATATAACCATTTTATGTTGACTTGTGGGCTTAACTAGTTCAGTAGCTTTTGAACATACAAATAGCAGTTATCATAAGGAAAGGAAATTGGCAGGGATTTCTGCTCTGTATAAGACTCATACAGAAATCTAAAATAACATTACAAATAAATTAGATTAAACAATTCAGGTATGAAAGCCATCATATTGTAGAAAATGTTTGACAGATGCTCTGTATTTAAAAAGCCTTGGGGCAAAATGGATATCGGAAGCTGTGTGCTGGAATCACTGGAAACTATGAAAGAGCACTGTTGAACACATTTTATGCCACTCTGATTTCTGCAGGTTATTTATGTCATAGTTATTGCAAGCTAATTTTTCATTGCTATGGAGAATTGATCATACCTTTTGTATGATTCTTTGATTCACAAGTGAGGTGGTCCCTAAAAAAAACCAAGTAGAGGTCTGACATTGCAAAGTAAAGGGTTCAGTCACTTCTTCTGTGAAAATAGCAGTAGTAAGTATAAGTGCCTACTTCCGTCTGACAGAAGTTTTTTAATATACATAATGGCCTTTTCTCTATGGAATTAATTTATTTAAAGTTGGGAACTTTCTAAATTTCAGTCTGTTCTGATTAAAAACAAAATGAAGGTTGATTGTTCTTGCTTTTATATTTTTCCTTAACAAGGAGACATGGTGAAAAATGAAGTTGCCTGAAAGCAAAGCCTGGAACTTTTTGTTCCCTTGCTAAGAGCTCCTATTGACTGCAGCTCTGGGGAAGATTTTTTAAGTGGTTAAAGAGCACATAAGAAAACTAGGAGAGAAATTTCCTCTCAAGAAAGGTCCAGGCCACAAGTGTCACAAATGTAATCCTATTTATAAACAAGCAGTGTTGTGTAAGCTGGTATATAATAATAGGATCAGCCTGGAATTAATATCACAGTAGCCGTGAGGTGGTATATATTCACAGCCCAGCTCTGGAGGGCTTACACACAACCTTTCCCCTCTCCCTCCCCCGCCCCCCCTTTTTGTAGGGACTCATCCTTTATGTTAAAAACAAATCACATGGAAGTTTTATGGTGTCTCTGAGTGTTATAACATTCTCCCTCTGTTTATGAAAGCAGAATTCACTTGGAGCAAACATGGCGTTTTAGGCTGCTGTGGTCTTGAAAGAATTGAGTGGGTGCTTCTATATATCACCTTTTCTGTGGAGCTGCCTAATTAGCTCTGCAATAAAGTCTCCACCTCTATGTACCTGGCCCTACTAGGTCATAGTAAACTAATAAGCACCACTGTAGTTAGGACTTTTAAATACAAGTACTATCCTATGGCAGCATTATTTACTGTACAGCAACGCACCTGAAGATGCTGACAGCATTGGCTGGGGCTTGAGGATGCTTCAGTTCAGGGGCTGCTTGCTGGCAAGGGGCTGTGTCTGCTTTGCCACACCAAGCCCCTCTGCTGGGTCAGAGTTGAAAGCTATGTCCAGGCTAGCAACCTGCTCCCTTGAGCCCTCTGCCAGCTGGGGCTGCCCCAACCTGGCTCAGTGTGCTGTGGTCCCAGGCGCAGGTGTATATGAGGTCCTTTGGAGCAATAAACTCTGCAATATGTGCTGAAGTTTGTTTCACTTTCATTGCACTTGTAGATGCACCCAGTAAGTAGCAACACAGCCAGGGATCCTATAAACCTACATGTACAAGGTGGTAAATATACAGTAGAGGAAAGTCCTGTATCTGTGACTTGAATACCTGAGGGTTCTCCCCTCTCCTCCAAAGTTTGGCAACAAGTGAAAGTTGGCAAAGATTCACCTAATTTGTTGAGTTTCTGATGCCTGTATGGCATTTTCGTCTCCCAAGTCAGAGGAAGCAGCAACAGGTCAGATTTTACTGAGCACTTGGAGAGGGAGGCAGGGGGAGGTGCGGGCTTTCAGGACCTCTCTACTTCTCTGCTGGGCAGGGCAGGCACAGCCTGTGAGTGCAGTTGGTGGAGGCAGGGCCTGGTGATGGGTGTGTTGTTTCACATCTTCTGCTCTTGTGCTCAGGTGCAGCTTTCCCTCACTTGCTTTAGTCTCCAGCTGTTCTTGCTGTGAGGAAAACCACCCGTGTGGCCCCAAAATGGGCTGCAAAGCCAGGAACAAGTGTGCCCACTACCTCCCAGCGGGTGGTTAACACAGATGTCTAGTGATCGTCATTTAAACCAGTGTTTCTCAACCAGGGTTGCAAGAATGTATGAAAGGGGTGTGAACAAACTTTCCAAATGGGTTCTCCATTAAAGGAGAAACACGTGGAAAACCGTGGGTTTCCCCTCGCAGGCTGGCAGAGTTCCACCCGCAAGGGCTGCTTGGCCCCCCCCCCCCCC